ACTAACAACAATACATACAATGACAGTAACGATCTGATAAACTGAACTATCAACCCAAACAGTGAACAGTAATAACAGAAGATGTGTGCAAAACAAGCAATTTGAAAGAATTTAGGGAAGATTATTTCCTGTAAATATTGCATCAGAGATCAGTTTGACTTTATTTTTTAGGGAGGACAATTCTGTCTGTATTGCAATGTTCTGTCTTTAATCATTATTCAAATGTTTAGGGCCTTTGTCAGAGAATGCCCTGCGCTCTTCTCCTGGACTGATGGAGGTTTTTCTCTGCATGTTTCTAATGCAGTACTCTTCAGAGAGAGGCTGATCATGTGAGATATCTGATACAAATCCAAACTTTAAAAAATAACACTTTGATTTTGTTTTATTCACAGAATTAAATGAAAGGTCAACTGTAATTTATTTTACTACAACTTTTAAAATCATGATGCCCCCTGAAGCTTTGCCGACCCCTAGTGTGTCTGGACCACCACGTTCGAGACCAATGCTATACAGTAAATACAGTATTATATATATTTTCATACATAAGATATTCATATTTATATTTTCACATGGGTTGATTAATGATACTAGAATAAAGAGAGAGTTCCACCATTAAGAAAATCCTGAAGTCACGTCCCTTACTGTTGCCTTAGAGTTGCATCAGTGTGAGCAAGTCCTGACTCATCAGTGCTGTCAGTGTTTTATGGAAATGTACAGCAGACAATCAGTTCAGCTACACAGCTTTTACCCATCAGGCAAAGCTAAAGCACAGAACAATATTAACAAATCAAAATCATCAAGAAAATTATGAAAAGCTTCTGATTGACGGTTGGTGGCATCATCAAAAGGAATATGCAACTTTTTTAATTTTTTTAAACAATATGTTTATTATTGTCATTCTTTTAAACAAGACACGACATACTTACAACAACAACAACAACAACAACAACAAATAAAACAAATCATTTGAAAAACATAGACAAAGACATGACAGGAAATCCTTACAAAAATTAAATAAAATTGAAATATATACAGTAATACAAATAAAAGACATTAAATGAAATTACATTTAAAAAAAACAACAATTGGGCAGTAGCAACATTATCCTAAAAGGTGTACATAGTCACAGCAGATTAAGAAGTACTTTACTTTTCCATTCAACCAGATCCCTCTCATGGATTCCCATTGTTATTTCTCAGCATGTTTGACTCCTTAAAGGTCCCATGTCATGCTTTTCTGGTTATGACCCGTCCCCTTGTGTTATGAAGGTTTTTCTGCATGTAAACGGTCTGCAGAGTCACAAACCCTCAAAGTACACCCTGTAGAGAGTACAACTTGTTAGAAATTAAAATCAATGTTTTGATGGCATAATGTACCTTAAATGTACCTTTAGTTTAAATGCTGTTTTATACTGAAAAACCAGACGTTCTTGTGCACAACCAGTTAGACTTTTATTCTGAAAAACCTTCACCTCCGGTTAGCATGAGGCTAATATACCATTTCCTATAGAGGTGAATTTAGCAGCGATATGATATGATGTTGCACACCGAAACCTACTGATTTCAACACTACAACTATAGACATCGAGATATTATTATTGTTGGATATTAAATGAAGGTACAGTTTATTTGAGTACGTTATCGTTTACAGATGTGAGTAGCATGTCACAACATTCGGAACGACCGGAAATCAAATTGCTGTGAAGGATTTCCTGTATTTTTTTTTGGAGTATTGATTACAGCGTTTAGAATGTGTTAAATGAAAAGTCATGAAAGAGTTAAGGAGGAGAAAAGGCGTGTTTAGATATATATTGAATGTACAATGTCTGTATCATGTGATATGCGTAACAACGGACATTAAATACACGGAGAGCCGGCCCCCAGGGAGGAGCCAGGAGAGGCTATATACAGACAACGAAACCTGAGGGGTTCGGCCTCTTTTCTCTGCTAACAAGGGCCAGATGCACAGCTGTATTTCTGTTGGAAAATATCCTGTTTGTGACTTTACCGTGCCTTTTTTATTAATTAAAGTACCAATTTGAAAACATCTCAGACTCCATTTAGTCTCCTTTTTAAGCGTCTCTTTCCTGGACGCGAGAATAACCATCACAGTTAACAAACTCTAACACAGAAAAGACCTGTCTGCACTCTAAAAAGTCATTCAGGGGACCTTTTACCACCACTTAATTAAATGCATGGTTGCAAGATACAAATTTGAATTAATTGATTTAGACAAACATTTTAAGTTGCAAACATTAATTTATAAGTTGTGTTGACGTAATAATGTTGGTAATTACATCAACTTAATATTGCGTGTAATTTAAACTCAGATTTCTGCGTTAATTGACTTAAAACTCAATTCAAGTTGTAGTAAGTAATGCAATTGGTTTTAACATGCCTGGACAAGTTCCGACAGTTAAGACTGTGTATTCGAGCACATAGGCTGAAGAAATACGATACAAAGGACATTTTTAAGTTGAGTGTCATCTTTTGTCATTGAAATACAGTAGATAGCCATAAAACACGATGTCGCTGTAACTCCTATGAAAATGTTCAAAAAGTGCTCAAACTTCACATGTGTGCAAACAGTCCAGCCGTGAAGACGTCTACGGGACATGCCGTTGTCATGGCAACACAATGCCCGCCATGAAACACGGTTTTCTCATAACTCCAGTGAAAATGCTCCAAATGGCCCAAAACTTCACAGGTTTGGTAATGATGCAGCCATCAACGCGTATCTAAGCGTATTATGGGATGTCATCAAATGCCGTTGGCATGGCGACAGATCATTCACCATCAAGTTAGTTCAAAAGTTTGCAGTTCAAATATTCTGCTGCTTTTTCAAGCCTTTTTACTTTCTTTTCTTCTCTCATCACACATTCAAGCCCCCAGTGTTCATGTATCATTTCAATCTAAATTCTTCACTTTCTTCTTACACATTACATTTCAGCATAGCAATTTAGCATCAGCTTTTCAGCATAAAGCATTCCCACTAGCAATTTCTTCAGGAATTGCATTCTCACAATACTTGCTTACCCATATGCTTGATACAGTATTGTCACGAACGAGCTGAGAACCAAAGTACAACACACAGGAGACCAGGGAAAGTCGGTAACCGGCTATATTATTTGCAGTTATTGATGAATAGTTCTGAAACAAGGCAGATAAGGCAGACTGACCAACCGGCAGACAGCAGGTCGGGCCAGGCCAGGGTTCCAGGAGGAGGCGAAGCAGGAGAGCAATCTGGGAAGTAACGCAGGAAAGACTAGCATGTTGTATTACATTTGTGGCGACTGTGGCTGCGAGGGAGTGCGGTCGATCCCAGCCCGTGCAGTCAACATGTCGATGTATCCTTGGGCAAGATACTTAACCCTGAGTTGCTCCCGATGGCATGGCCAACGGTGTGTGAATGTGTATGCATGTTAGTTCCAAGAGTAACATACACTGCTCTGTATGAATGGGTGTGAATGGGTGAACGACATGTAGTATGTATAGCGCGTTGAGGGGTCTTAAAGACTGGATAAAGCGCTATATAAGTACAGTCCATTTACCATTTCCAGAATAAGCAAACAGCATTAGCTGATTCTGATGTTATAATAAGTACAACAACAATAGTTTTCAACATGTTTATTTATTGTCGATATATAAGTTCACAGATGCAACAAACTAGATGTTAGGCTTAAAGGGGACCTATCATGCAAAATGCACTTTTATACATGAATATTGTGTCCCCGGTGTGTCAGGGAACTCACCAAGTGTCAGAAAACACAACCCTCTCTCTTTTCCTCCATACCCAAATCTCTAAAAATGGGGCTGCAACAGAGCTGATTATTATTAGAATTTTTCTGACATCAGAAAAGGGGTGCTCCGCCTATATGGGCAACTCTCCACCTATCAGGGGAATGAGAGACCGCTCGAAAGCGCTGGAGACGCTGTAGTACATATGCCAGGCCTGTAAGTGGCGCTGTAGCAGCCCTTGCAAAAACAGGGCTGGAAAAGAGCAAATAGAGCGAAATGAGGCATGGCTAAAATGCATGATCTGTTTGGTATTTTGAATAAAAAACTTCACAGATATGTTTTATATAGGTATGGCCCTACAATATATGTTTCAAATATAGCATGATAGTCCACTTTAAGTTTGATATGTGAGGGGTATTGCACTTATCAGGATATTGGCAGTTTGATTCCCTGTTCGCATGCCGCAGTGTGCATAGGTCAGGATTAGTGTTGCGTACCGGTACGCCAAACCGGTACTGGACTTGTAAAACGTTTCGGTTCAAGTCCGGTTAAAACCGGAACGTCGGGAACCGGTACTTGGACTCGCAAAAAAACTAGCACTTACGTATATTCTCCTTTTTGTTCTAAACCATCTAAAACCTTCCATAGATCGAGAAATTTGCGCTGAGAAAAGACGAAAAACATCATGTCGGCTTCTGATATGGCGGCCATTACTGAACTCACGAAGTCTCGCAAAATATCGCAACTGCTCGCTGTCCGAGTGACATAGATGATAGATGCTTAAGTTAACTATGTATGACATTTGTATCAAAATTGTATGTATGTATGTACATCACTATGTATGTAGTATGTACTGTATAATGTACACATGTAGAGTTGTAGAAAAGACATGGTGTACAGACAGTACAGTACACTCTGACTGTACAGTCACTACAGTGTATACTGTATAGTAGGTGTGTAACAGTGTAATGCGTATAGTCTACTCTACACTCTCCCTTTCAGCAACGTTTTAGGGATTTAGGCTCAGTCAGCTCAGGGACTGTTTGGTTACTTTAGTTTGGTAAATGAAATAAATGTTTGAACTTTGTAGTAGTTCACTGTAGTTGCTGTCATAAGTCATTTGTAGACTAAGTGGCAAAAAGTCTTTTTTTACATTTGTACTTTGTAGAGAAATGTAGACACAAGTTGGAAGGGAGCACAATAAACCTGACGATTTGAATTTGAGTTGATTATGAGTTTATTTTCAATTGATAATTAGCTCACAATAAGTTCACTTTAGTTACTCACACAACTTGACACAAGCCATGTGTTCAGGTCCGGACTTATAAGTCCGGACCAGGTACGCAGCACTAGTCAGGATACTGTGGGAATACATGTATTTTATCCAATTATACTGTATGATCAACAGTTTATAATAAGATAAAAATAGCTAGAGAGATTCCTGGCATTAAAGCACATACAGACAACTTTGTGATTATATCTTTCCATTGTACACGTCTGGAAAATGTACTTCATTCTGTGGTGCTGGATGGTGACATGTTTTACATCTTTTTTTCCTTAACATCTTCATGTTAAGAGATTAAGCATACAGCCAATACTATTAGGATCATTTTTGCTTGCGAAAAATAAAGTACAATATTGGATAAACCCTTTAACGATGATGAAATAGGGTGTGGAAATACATGCAGACATGTGCATGAAGAGCCTTTGAAGCAGATGTCACGTTTGTCTTCATGCCCATCAGAAGTCCTTTTTATATTAGAACAAGCATCACACTAGGCATGTTTGGAAGCCCTTGTCCTGAACTGTATTTGGAATAACTGCTAACAAAAATAATATGCTGTCTATGAAATTATACTTGTGCCACGTTAAAAATGTCTACATAAGACACAAAATATAATGCGAAGATGTGTTTTGAGCAGGTGAGAAGGGGAAAGGATTGGAACCATGGAGCAGATGCAGATGATGCTCAAGGACCTGGGTGGATCCAGGTCTACTTGGTATGATCCTGTACCCAGTGACAGAGCCTGACACAGTACGCCTGTGGACTGACGGTGGAGAAGGACCGGCCTGGGTGTCTCAGCCTCTTCCACCAATGCTCAAGCCTCTTCCTGAAGCTGTAAACTGTGAAAATGTCAATGATTCCGATGAAGTAGCGCTGCTCAGGCCCATCGATGACATAAAGGGGATTCTTTAGATTGGGTAGTAAACGTCGGTTTTGGGCTTTGAATTCTGGGAGCTCAGCTGTGTCACTTCCTGGCCCTGCATGCTCTGGGCAGGTTTGGAGAGATCCCCCACTTGATGCAACTCCCACTTGAGACTGCCTATAATAGTTGTCGGCAGTTTCAGACAAGAGTAAGGTGGAGCCGTCTTCTTGGACTTCCCCGGGAACCGCAGATATGCCTGGGTAGATGGGACTGGAGCCTGGATTCACAGATCTCGAAGAAAAAGTCAAAAGGGGGGAGAGGGGTATGAGTCAAAGCAATAACCATGTCTATCCTCACTCCAAATGTATTCATGTAGGACAAAACTCTGATATGTCTAGGCAGGCAGATGTCAAAGTGTCAGAAGTTCAGTCTAATTAACTTTGAAATGTTTATTCCATCATTTGAGTTTGGCCTCTGGGCTCCGGTGTCATCACTCCCTGCAATTATCTTTTATGTAAAAAATGGAGGAGTGATAATTAAATAACTGTGAGCAGGAAAGGCACATGTACAGTATATGTATCATTTGTGCTCAACATGACTGCCTGGACTAGCTCGCAGTTTTTATTTTTGCTCCATTGGTATAGTAGTAGTAGTAGTAGTAGTAGTAGTAGTACTGTATCTGTTTAGGTTTTGAAAATCAACCCTAGGACAGGTATTTAAAGTAACCCATTTGCTTCTTTCTAACAATAACCTAAACACACCATGCATTATTTGGCTACAGTGTATAACAATGCATATAATAATATAAGATACTTTGTATGTGCCAAATGATAATGTTCTTCGGTGAGGGACAACAATGCTTTGAACGTAATGCTAATGGTATCAGGCTAAAATACCTACAAAGACAATGCTAACAAATTGATATGAAGCAGGTGTAAAGTTGATTATGTTCACCATCTTAGTTTGGGATGTTAGCGGGCAATTCTAATGAAGTTGGGACGTTGTGTATAACGTAAATAAAAACAGAATGCAATGATCTTCCTTGATCTCAGGAAGGCATTTGACACAGTTGACCACCAAGTGCTCCTTACAAAGATGACTCATTTAAATTTTTCAGCAGTTTCGATACATTGGTTAAAGTCTTACGAACAGAAAACAGTGTGTTTTGGTCAACGGTGCCAAATCTCCCGACCTTGTCAACCCTGTTGGGGTTCCACAAGGTTCCATTCTTGGACCGTTACTTTTTTCACTGTACATTAATGACTTGCCTAATGTATGTCCTGAGTTGAATGTGCAAATGTATGCCGATGATGCGGTCATCTTTGTACACGGGAAAAATACGATGTTCAGTAAACGACCAGTCAAAATCGAAGGATCCAATGTGTTTTTAAACGGAGCAGAAATAGAACTAGTCTCCCAGTTCAAGTATCTTGGAGTCATACTGGACTCGAACTTGACTTTTAAGAAACACATTTAGAAAGTATCAACTACTATTAAATTCAACTTGCAACATTTTAAACAAATCAGACCTTTCTTAACTGTCAATGCTGCAAAGTCATACCTCCACTGTATGATTCTATCCCACATTGAATACTGTTTGACAAACTGGTCGTTTGCTTGTGCCACAAACCTGAAACCCATAGAACAGCTGTACAAGAGAGCTATCAAGGTGTTTGACAGAAAGCCACATTCATACCAACACTGTACCATCCTTGAAAAACACCATGTCTTGAGTTTTGACCATTTTAAGTCTTTTAAAAGTATGTGTTTTAAATGTTTACATGGACTACCCCCCCCCCCCCCCATTCATCCACAGAAAACACACTGGACGCTGCACTAGGTCAGAAACCAGAGGAGACTGTGAAGTCCACCGTAGACGGACCACTTTTGGAAAAAATGTCCTCTCCATTAAAGGCAGCTCTTTGTGGAATAGCCTCCCAACTGAGATACGGGATTGTCCCACCCTCAATAGGTTCAAAGGTCAACTCAAAGAATGGTTGAGAAACAAACAGACGTGCAATCACCGCTAAATGCACTTTAACACAGGGGTATCTCCTCTTGCACTTTAGGCAGCACTTGTATCTTCTCTTGCACTTTATATGTCGTAGCTGCTATATTGTATTACCATGTCATAAATACTTGTGTATGCTGCTCTTGCTCTTTTGCACTTTTTGCATATCATGTATTTTGTTTTTGCTATGTTTGTAAAATGTAATTTTCTTAAATGTTTTATGTGAGGGACTGCGGATGGAAATGAGCTCAAAGCTAAATCTGGCACTGTTACGCTTGACACATTTGAATGTTTTAAGTGTTCATTACTGTGCATTGTCCCTGCCAAATAAACGATTAAATAAATAAAATGTGCAAATCCTTTTGGACCTATATTCAATTAAATACACTACAAAGACAAGATATGTAATGTTCAAACTGCTAAACTTTATGGTTTTTTGCAAATATTCACTCATTTTAAATTTGATGTATGCAACAAGTTTAAATGAAGCTGGGACAGGGTCATGTTTACCTCTGTGTTACATCACCTTATTTTTAACAACACTCAATAAGCGTTTGGGAACTGAGGACACTAATTGTTGGAGTTTTGTAGGTGGAATTATTTCCCATTATTGCTTGAAGTACACGGCTACCATAGGAGCAACTTCAACTATTTTTTCTGGTAAATTCATAGATATAATTTTCTTTCAGGTTTTAAACAGTTATGTAACCAATATTTTTTCTCAGCTGTTCGATGTCTTTACATGTTTCAAAACAAGACTTATAGCAATGATATTTAAACATGACGACCCATAAGAAACCCAGGGTGGTTTAACTGGTTCACAAGACCCTGCAACATGTGGACGGCTGGAAAATGGAATCTAAACAAAAAGGAACAGAAGCTTAACCAATGGACCAATACAAAAAAAAGCGCTCTAATCAAAAATGTAATGAATTATTATTATTATTATAAACAAACGTGTCAAACACTGAACTGTTTCACTGGATCAGGGAACATTTAGCTGGTGGCGTTAGAGAATGTTAGGATTAGAACTGAGTGGTGACAGTCGATTGACGAGGTGAAATTATGGACCATGAAGTGGCTGCAATGATATTACGATCACTTGCTGATGTGATACAACTGTTGAGGAAAACACAATGATTTAAGAAGTAGACTGATGAGTTGGAGGTGCCGTTCTCAACTAAATGTTAGTTACATGTCTGAAGCTGATAACATGATTAATTATATGATGTTATATGACTATACTAATGTATCCCCAGCTCTCACTTTTTTTGTTAGAGAGGCTGACTCAGTTTCTGCTCTTTCATTTCTCTCCTGAGCTATGTTTTTCATGTTCCATGATCTTTCCAAAATGTCAAAATACTCGAAAGAATCATTTTGATTCTATTTTTAGAAAGTGTTACATCACTTTGGCTTCGTGCTTAATGCGCCAACCGTGCAATAGAGAGTATGAGTGTGTGAATAGAGGTCTGTGTGCGTGCAACGCAGCTGCATGAGTCACACTTGATGGGAATCAAACCAAAATAAATTAAGTGTAAAACAGCGAGGAGCAGGCCATAAGACCTTGTGCACTTAAGGGCCTCTAGCCCATTCTAATGTCACATTTCATCACTTACACATACAGCATAAACATGTAAGTGAGTTATTGTGAAGAAGAATCTTATAATCTGTTATTTACTATATTTGTACAAATCATCTGACATTAACTTGCATCATTGGTTGATCACCTAACATTCAAAAGTGTTCTAAGAGGCTTAAGAATAAAATGTCAATCTGAGGCTGAGGCACATTGTCCGTGGCTATTTAAAACACATGTGCAAACATCATTCGATAAGTTTCCATAACACAGATGACTCTTCATCAAAGGCGTGTAACTGTGAGCAACAGCTTTGTTTGCTGAGGCCACAGTTCCTCTTATTCCAGTATGAAGCCACACTCCCTAGTTGACAGTGCATTTTGGCAGATTTTCTGTGAGAACTGAAATTCATTACTCACCCCCACATTTATGTTTTTACAACTAAGTATTCATGAGGGATTCTAAGACCGAGACCTCATGCAGTAGTCTGGAGCAGGCTGAGCATTGGGGGGTCTTTACCCATCATGACAGGGGTAGTAGCGAAAACCTATCAAGAGTTAGTTCACATTTAAAGTATAACAGTTTTAGGGTTTTCTTTTTGTTCGGGTGATGTTTGAGATTCTCGGTTAAAATGATGATGGTGCAGTTACACATTAGAAGGATTTTACACATGTATCCTCTGAAGGCAGAAGTGTTCCTGTGTTTAAATCTGTGTCTCACCACAGGATTTTGTGAAATTATAACTTGTTTTGTTCAATTCAATTCAAAACCTTTATTTATCCAGGTAAAATCCCATGTCAACTCTCCTGTTATCTCAATCAGAACAACCTTCTGGATCCGCACCAGTCTGGTTTCAAGGCAGGTCACTCCACAGAAACTGCCCTCCTTGCTGTCACGGAGGAACTGCACACTGCCAAAACTGCATCCCTCTCCTCTGTCAACATCCTGTTGGACCTGTCTGCTGCATTCGACACGGTGAATCATCAGATCCTCCTTCGCACTCTCCAAAAACTTGGAGTTTCAGGCTCTGCACTTTCTCTCCTCACCTCATACCTGAAAGACCGTACCTACAGGGTGACTTGGAGAGGGTCTGAGTCCGACCCTTGTCAATTAACTACAGGGGTCCCTCAGGGCTCTGTTCTTGGTCCCCTCCTCTTCTCCCTGTACACAAACTCGCTCGGATCAGTCATTAGCCCGCATGGTTTTTCTTACCACTGCTACGCTGACGACACCCAATTAATTCTGTCCTTTCCCCGCTCAGAGACCCAGGTCGTCGCACGCATCTCTGCTTGTCTAGCTGACATCTCTCAGTGGATGTCTGCTCATCACCTCAAACTCAACCTTGACAAGACTGAACTGCTTTTCCTTCCGGGAAAAGATTGTCCCACTCTTGACCTAACAATCAACATCGGCACCTCAGTTGTTTCCCCGACTCAGACTGCAAGGAATCTGGGTGTGACCCTAGATAACAACCTGTCCTTCACTGCAAACATCGCTGCTACAACCCGTTGCTGCAGATACACGCTTTACAACATCAGGAAGATACGTCCCCAGCTGACACAGAAAGCGACTCAGGTTCTGGCCCAGGCTCTCGTCATCTCACGCCTAGACTACTGCAACTCCCTCCTGGCTGGTCTACCTGCATGTGCCATCCGACCTCTGCAGCTCATCCAGAATGCAGCGGCTCGTCTGGTCTTCAACCTT